TTGTCCTTTATGATACTAGACTGACCTAGATATTTTCAGCATTTTCTGTGTTTATTTTGGATTTCCATCACTTCATGTAATTCCTTTTTTTGAATTCCTGTTCCTGCAAACTTCTTTGGAGGCCAAGACTCTATCCTACGCTTTCCAGAATTGCTCTTCGTCTGGGTTTTTGACTATTTCTATTCCACATCTTTTGTGAAATTTCATTAACTTGACATTTGGGAAATGAGAATGATCTAGTTTCAATCCCTGTTTCATGTCATTCATTCCTGTGGGGTAACTGTTCAGTTGAGTTGCGAATGGGGTGGAGGACTTATTTTCGAGACATAGCCCAAAAAGGGGATGTGTGTTGTGTGTGTTTGCAGTGTGACTCAGATTTAGCAACAAACTACGCATTTTGTACGGACCATAAACCAACAATAATTGTCAAGTCTGATATAACAGAGGCAGGCTGTCATTAGATGTGTAGCATAATGTAATAATTTTCATTTTTACTTTCTAATATGCTGGCCCACAGTTGAATTTAATTGCCTCTTGCATTATCTTGTATCTTTTTTATTAATTGCGCAAGTCATTAAAACCTTATGACATTGAACTTGTGCTCTTTTGAATATTTTCCACCCCAAGCACCAATGTCACTATTACTTTCCCAGTATGGTTAAACAGGACATTTCTCATTGGGAACACTTATTCTTTCCAACAATGTAAGAACAGAACCACGTGTTTTGGTCATCAGTTATGAAACAGAAAGCAAGTCCTCAAAGAAAAACCAAAATATAATTTCAGTCTTTTTATCATAATTGAAGATAAAGCTGATTATTACTAATTGCATACTGATCTACTTTGAAAATTGCTTTAATGCTTTTTTCCAAATAATATATTCTTTTGCTCTAGTCTTTTCTCATTAAATAATCTGTGATTTAGAATTTTAAAGTTGGAGTAATAATTTGATACATTAATCTTTGGAGTCAGTAATTTTATATAACACTTCACAGTCTTTTGGTTTGCAAATGAATAGTTCTTTAATTCTGGAAAATGTATTTAAAAAGCGTTAGCCATTAAGTGATAATTAAGAAAGATGAGTACAAAGGAAATAACACATAGAACATTTCTTTAATGAACTGAAAAATGTTAATCTTGTCCTGTTTAGTGATGAGGTGCAGAATTGCAGCTAAAATCCTTGGAGAATTGAAGCAAATGAATTCAGTAGTGGATGTAATTAAGACACATTGTGAAGCATCGAGAATAAGAATGTTATCTATCTTTTTCATCAAAAGCTGATTATTAAAAGTCATAAGGAAAATCTGATTATAGACTGTATAGAAGATGAATTTGCCTGTGTTAAAATGATGAACAAAGTCTACTGAGACAGCATAAAAAGTAATCCCATATTTTTGAAGTAAAATCCCTGACAAAAGAATCTTTTTTAAACAGAAATATTAATTTGTATGTTGAAATGTTACATTTGGATTTCAGAGAGGCAGAAACGATGTTCAAGTGGCTTGCTGTATTACTTGTAATGGAGGGTGTGTAATTGCAATTTCAGAATTGTACCACCTTCAGTGAATTCTGAAAGGATTCTTCCTCCATTGTCATGTCTCTCCCCCATCTGAAATGGAGGTGGGGTCTTTTTTGTGGGAGGATGGAACTTAACTCCTAGGCTTGCTGCCATTGCTCTACTTTGCACATTTTGTTGAGAAGAGGTCAAGAGGCATGGGGTTTTAAAAAAAAAAGTCGAGGTCTGTTGATCGCTGCATTGCGCACCATGTAAGAGTGCAGTGAAGACATGGACACACCACATTTTTAACGTGTACTTTAAGCTCAAATTTCCTAAACGTTTGGCCACTGGTGTGCTTCTAAAAAATAATTTCATTCACCTTTAAAGCAGAGTTATACAAATGATCGACCTCCATCAGACAGTGTGGAAGCAGGCCATTCGCCCCATCAAGACCACACCGACCCTCTGAAGAGCATCCCACCCAGACCTGACCCACCCCATCCCTGAAGCCCTACATTTCCCATGGTTAATCCAGCTCGCTTGCCCATCCCTGGATACTATGGTCAATTTAGCATGACCAATCCACCTAACCTGCTCATCTTTGGACTGTGGGAGGAAACTGGAGTACCTGGAGGAAATCCACGCAGACACCAGGAGAATGTGCAAACTCCACACAGCCAGTCGCCCAAGGGTGGAATCGATCCTGGGTCCCTGGCACTGTGAGGCAGCAGTGCTAACCCGCTGAGCCACCAAGCCATGTGTGCTGGAAGTATTGTAATTTATTTCCTTCTGTTAAGAGTCTTGAACCTTAAAAAAATGAAGAAGTTCTGTAATCTATTAGTAATGTACACGTTTAAAATGGCATTACTAATCTTTTGTGTACGGAAAGTGTTCAATATTTAACAACTGTAACAAGAGAGCAACTCTTATGCTTTAGTTGCAAAATCCCAGAAATCATTTATTCATCCTGCTTGTTTACAAAGATTTGGGCTGCAATCAAAATGGCGATGGTCACATGATCTTGCTTCTTTCACAATGTGTACTTGCAGTACCTATCATCCACAATGTGATCTACCTTCTTGATTCCTTCCTCACTTCAGCTGCTCATATTGTCCACACTGGTGTACCTGCTGCTAGTAAAAAGCTCTTCATAGTATTTCTTCAGAATTTCATTCCAGTCAATTTGTGGCCAAATTCGAATCATTTCAGTCCGACAGCATCACTCTCCAGTGATCACACCCAAATCTTTAAGGCTTCACTTGGCAGCCATAGTAAGCTTCCACCTTCCTACAGAGGGCAAGTCTGGTGGACAGCATCCAGCGGGATGGTGTTTTATGAAAGCTGCTTGGGAGCACAAGACCTCAACACCACTGAAATCTGCCTTCCACAGACTGACATGTGCTCCCTTTTGAACAGATGGCTTCTCGTGACCTCTCATTTCTTGCATTAAAATCTGTCACTTTATGCTCATTTCTGCATGATGAGTAAATGAGTTTCACTCCCTGCAAGGGGATCCAGTAGCACATTGCATTTGGAATTTGGATAGTGCTGTTTTAGGACCTTCTCCAAGATGCTTGCCCAAAAGTAAAGTTTTTCAAAATATGATGTTTCCAGAAATGGCACGTGGAATTTCCCTACACCACATTTTGTTCAGATTGGAATGCTTCTATAGTGACGGTAATCTCAAATTCGATGGGGATTAAGTCAAGGATGTGTACCATCTCGGGCAAGCACGTGCTTACTTTTCAAGTAAATCTTTGGTTGCCTCCATGTCGTTGACTACATTACGCTGAAAGTAGTACTTGTTATTAGTTCATTATGGGTTGCCTCTGAAGATAATTCTGCTTAGGACTGATTTGTACGCATGTGATTTAAAGCTGGGCAAAATAACATTTTAAGAGGCACTTGTGGTGTAGTGGTAATATCCCTGACTCTGAGCTAAGAGGCCTGTGTTCAAGTCCGATTTGCTCTAGAGGTGTGTAATAACATCTCTAAACAGGTTGATTAGAAAATGAACTCCATTGCCATGGAATGTATTGCTTCACATCCGGTTAATTATTGCAAGTGTAGCTAGCAGTATAGATGCATATGGTGCTGAATGTACACAGCAAGATCCCACAACATAGCCGTTAAGTTTGCTTCTGGTGGGATTGGTTGAAGGACAAGTATTGGCCCAGGACAAAGAGGGCTTCCTGCTGTTCTTCACCAACAACCAAATAAATATCTTTCCAAGTCAGAAATTGCTGGAAAAGCTCAGCAGATCTTTGGAGAGACAGCAGAGTTAACGTTTCAGCTCCAGTGACCATTCTTCAGAATTGGACGCAAGACATTAACTCTGCTTTCTCTCCACAGATCTGCTGAGCTTTTCCAGCAATTTATGAATTTGATTTGATTCCCAGCACATTATTCTTTTAAATGTCCTTCCGTTTTGATTACTTTTGTTTTTTATAGTTGAACATCATAGACATGATTAATTCTTGCATCCACTTAAACAGGGCAGTCAGAAACAAGAATTAAAAGGGCTGGAAAACCTCAATAGGTCAGACCACATCTGTGGAGAGAGAGAGGAGTCAATGCCTTGACTTAACTTTTTTCGTCTCAATTATATACCTTAAACAATGTAGCATTCAGAAGCTATTGTACTGAAGTATTACCTAGATTGTTTGTCCTAATCACAATCGGGCTTCAACGCAACCTTTGACTCTGGAAAAGTTGCTACCAACATGAAGATTTGAGTTATAAGGAGAGGCTGATAGGCTGGGACGTTTCTCACTGGAATATAGGAGTTTGAGGGGTGACCTTATTGAGGTTTATAAAATCATGATGGGTATAGATAGGGTGATTGGCGGGTGTCTTTTCCCGAGGGTGGGAGATTTCAAGACTGGGGGCATATTTTTAAGGTGAGATGTGAAAGATCTTAAAAAGACATAAGGGACAACTTTTTTTTTTACACCGAGAGTGGTTCATATGTGGAATGAACTTCCAGAGGAAGTGGTGGATTTTGATACCTTTGCAGCATTTAAAAGACATTTGGATAAGTACATGAATAGGAAAGGTTTGAAGGGAAATGGGCCAAGTGCAGGCAGGGTGGACTGGTTTAATTTGGGAACATGGTCGGAATGGACTGGTTGAACCGAAGGGTCTGTTTCCATGCTGTAAGACTCTATGACCGTTTGTTTGTTTTCTCTATATTATAGTTTGGTTTTCTGTTTTTGTTCTCTTCAGGATTATTTTGTAATATCACCAGTCTCTTGTAGAATTCCTATTAAAAAAAAATTAACGCTGTTTCAGCATTTAATTTTATCAAAGTATTTTTAGCAGTACTTTTGTCGCTGCTGTTAGAAAGCATTTTCTGTAGCCAAATTTTTTGAATATTTAAGCAGAGAATTGCACCCAAAAATCCTGCTGTTTTTGTTTAAAGGTTCATCTCCAAATGGTAAGATGGCTGTTTTCGATTAAGTAATGTCATTGCTTTAAATATTTTTTAATATTTATTTATTAGGTTCTGACTTTATTAAAACGTCTACAGGAAAAGAAGGGGTAAATGCAACATTCCCAGTTGCCCTAGTGATGGTGCGGGCCATCAGAGACTTTTATTCAAAGACTGGTTACAAGGTATACTAGCAATTTGAAAATATTTTGGAGTAGAATTTCTAATATTCATCCTTGTTCAGCATGATTCCATTTTTTATAAAAATAATCTGTTGACTAACAATGTAAACACAGTGTAATGAACAATAACAGTGAATATCTGCAATTTCCTAAAATGACAGTTGCCAATGATTTGTTGGATTGAAAGAATTAATTGAAATCTTCGAATGAGAGTACTCAGACTTGAGTGAAAGATACAGGAAAATCAAGTTTTTCTATTCTGGTTTAATTGAAAGATCAAGGATCCCGTTTAGATGGGCTTTTAAGTAAATTGGACAGAAACAACATGTAAAGCTACAGAATGAAAGTGCAGTTGTAGCAAAAATTCAATTATATTACTAGAGCTGTAGAATAGCCCTCGAGTCAAATCTGTATGCAATTAATAATATAATTGCTTGCTTGGAATGTGAATGCTTAGCAAGGATTCCTAGTGTGCACACTGTATGCTTAATCCTATTTTTTGCCAGGAAATATCAAATTTGTAGCCCCATGTTATGGCTTAATTCACCCTGAAGGAAGAAACAAATTGTTTTCTAAACAAATAGGTGACCACTAGCCCTCAACATTGTGTTATTTCAAAAGGATTGCAAGCCTTACTATGTCGTTTTGCTTTCATGTCATTTCTCTAAAGATTGAATTGGAAAGAGTTAGAATTTCCATAACCTTGCATTCATTTTGCCATTGTAGCTCATTCAAAAGATTGCTGAACTTTAAGTACAAATTACTTCATTGGAAAATGAGGTTCTGTGATGATTTGTACTAATTATAAAACAAAATTGTGCTCCTGTGCATAAAACTGACTATGCCAGCATAATTAATTAACCATTGGGAAATTTTATGAATATACTTGTTTATGTGCCTATGGGAAAACCTTTTTTTAAAAAAAACCTGCTGGTTCATTTGGGTGCAAGCACATTAACATATGTATTTTGACAGCTTTTGGATTTTTTTAAACAAAGAAACTGATTATTGTTCCTTAATAAAATTTGCAAATGGTTCTGTATTTTTTAAATATCATTTTTGGTAGTACTCGAAGGTGGTAGGTTGACTGAATAAAAGTGCTTATTTTTTATGACAAATTTGTTTTCAGTTGTATAAACCTAATAGTGCCTTTTTGGCACCTCATCTATCAAAGAATATTTCAAAACAATTTTTTTTAAAAACGAAAGTTGCATTCATGAAATACTGCCCAATCTTACAGATATGAAAGTATGTTTTGAGTGGAAATGTGTAGAGGAATGAAATATGCTTGAAAACTTGTGCAAATTTCTACTTGAATTCCCATTTGCGTCTCAAGTTGAAAGACTACACCTATGTGTTTATGTGACATTGGCTTGTTAATGTTGCAATATTTTTGAGTCTTGTATTCCTTTCAAAAGAGCATGTTCTTTCTCCAGATGTTGTTCTTTTGTTAAACAAATAGATGAAGAGTTAGCAGAGTAGGCAGGAATATGGATTTGAGGTTACAATCAGGTCAGCCATGATCTTCATAATGCTGCAGCAGGCTCGAAAAGCTGGATGAACTAGCTCTCCCAATTTGTATGTTGTATGCAGCTGCTGCAAGTATATTTAATCATTAAATAAGTACTTTTTCCCCTCTTGAACTTGCTTGGTTTCCTTCAGTTTATATGATTGAATTATTAATATTAATTTAAGAGATTTTAGAATAATAACTAAAAGACCAGCTTGTTTTATTCTGATTACAAAGGAAGGTTGCCAGCATGTACTTCTTAACTGGAACTCCTTGTTCTACACTACTGTTGAGATTTTAGATGTACTGGAGATGTGAAAGTATTTTTTATGTGATCCCAATCAATTGTCAATAATGATTCAAACCTATGCTTTTCTATAAGTCAAATGGTCTGCATACAAGTAATATGTATTTCTCCAACCACATAGTGTTATGTTTAAAATATGACATCATATTTATTTTCCCTGCTAAAAATTGACTAATGTTTTTGGACAATGATAATTCCTTGTTAATAATATTTTGTATATGACCTCAGCACTGCCAGTTTGTCTTACTTCAGCCTGAGGTGCCTGAATTCTGACTGCTTGTTCCCTGACCCAGTTTCCCCAGGGTGATAGTGATACAGCAAGTTCATAGTCATCTGTCTGTCTCAGAGATGAGCTGGTCAACTGGAATAGAGTTTTAATTTTATTAAATCAGCCAGTCATGCATAAATTATTTGACAAAACCTGTTATTTCCTGTGTCCTGGCTTTGGAATGGTTGGATCCTGAAAGTAAGATATATTCAACACATTATAATAATCATTTTGTATAAACAGATGTTGCTGGCAAACTAATTACAGTAAGGACATAAAGGCTAGTTGCAGAACCTGATTATTATGATTCATCCTTCACTACTTGAGTGATTTTTGTTTATTTTAGTATTCACCAGTCGTGATGTTCAAAAAGCAGGGTGTAACCCTTAAACAAGGGAAGCTACTGTTTCACCTCTCTAAGCCTGTAATTAAGTTTAAACAAATTGCATTCTATTTTGCATTGACAGATATTCTTTCCTTAACAACTTCTCATCAGCTGTATTCTGAGTGTTGGAATCAATTCAGCAAAAATGTTTTGTTAATAAAATGTAGATTAGTTCACTGCACTTAAGGGTTGGTATATTGGTGCCAGCTTCATCACAAGTTGCCAGGCAAAGAGTTAGATGAAGTCTAACCTGGCTATTTTGTTAAGAGTCAGTTGCAAGACAGAGTTCTGTGAAAGCTGCCCAATGGATATTGTGTGGAAGGTTACCTCTCGTTATGCTATGATAAGATTAAAAAGCAGAACAGACCTACTCCTGTACCCATGTTCCAAGTAGAAATTGCGTACCTGAGATAAAACTTCTGGTGTGGCTTCATTAACATTTGTATTCTGTTTTGCAGGTCGGGTTTAAACCAGCAGGTGGTATCCGCAGTGCAAAGGATGCATTGACCTGGCTGTCACTAATCAAAGAAGAGCTGGGCAACAGCTGGCTAAAGCCAGAATTGTTCCGACTGGGTGCCAGCACTTTACTTACTGACATTGAAAGACAGGTTAGGATTCCAACAGGAAATTTTTGTACTTTTGCTTTTAAAAAAGGATCTATACTTCTTGGTAATTTCTTCTAACTGCTAATTTTTTTTTCAAAGCATATTTGAGGGAACTTTACATTTCTCAATATATTGAATTCTGTTTAATTTTCTTCAGATCTATCATCATGTGACAGGAAGGTATGCAGCAGCTCATGAATTGCCAATGGCTTAAAGGACTACATGCTACTTTCAGCTGAGGAAACAGGCCTGATTTATGATCCCTATAAGAGTTCTCCACCTCTGTGTATGTTCCTTTCTCTGCAACTTTTGAAAAGAACTTTTTTCTTCCTAACCACAAAGATCAACTTTAACACTTTCTAACTTGACTTTAATGCACTTCAATATTCTTAAAAATATAAATGTTTCAAACACAATTTGGTGAATTTCTAGAAATTCCGCATTATATTAATATGTACTAAATGTATTAAAATAGAATTTTCTTTTGATAAAGTACACACAGTGATGTGTAAGGTTTATTTGTCTGAGTTAAAATGCTTTGTATTGTAAAAAGTTATGTTGAATAAGGTGCATATAGATAGTTTTATTTTGTCTGCCCTATACAGTAAATTCACTAATCCTGTGCTGCTAATGGAGACCCTTCCACATTAAGATAGGCACGCAGGGCTGTGACATTGAAATTTTCACTCTGATCTCAAGCATTTCCATCAAGAGGGCTGTCTACCGGGACTGCATAATCATGGACTTTAACTTGAATATTCTTCTTTCAATTTGATGTGTGCAAAATGGATAAATATATGTGATTGGATTCATTGTATGTTGGCGAAATTTTTAATGCCAGCTAGGCTTTGCAGTCATTTTTCAGTTTCACGAACTTTGCACTGAGTATCAGGTAAACTAGACCACAGACATTGATAAATTTTGATTGGAATTTTATTCGCAGCTTAAAAATGAAAGCTACTAAAATATTTACAATCAGCTTTTTGTTAAAATGTATTCTTTCCTTATTTTAATCTCACAGATAGTAAACAGTAGTATTTCATTACTGTTGGATATTAATTTTATTTAAACAAGGCCTTTCAAACCTCTATCCAGATGAAAGAACTTTTCAAGGATGTATACAGTACATTTTTTATTTTTAAGGGATTTCGGTTAAAAGATGTTTGGATAGTATCAGTTTATTTGCTACCACACACCAATACTAAAATGTTTTATATCCTCCTGGAGACAACTGATGACGAATAACCAACTCTTTGAACCTATCAACCCAGTAGTGCTTGGTTTCCATGGCGATTCTTTCTTCTGTGCTGTCTTGAGATGGTTAAGGAGTCCTTAACTTACCAGCTCCCAGTTTGAAATACAAGGTCAGAACTTCTCTGTTGGTAACCCACTTCATTAGGGAAATCACAAGAGCATGGTGTAAGACCCCCTTGGTTATGGCTATGACACATTCAGTACAAAGGTTGCCTGGAGTTTCTTTGGCACCGCAGGAGTGCTCTTCCCAAGTGCTGATCCACGGCTTCAGTTCACACAAAGTCCTGCTTCTTTGACCTTTCAGGAGATTTGCTCTCACAACATACTTTTGTCACAAGTAGTATTTGGCAAGGTATATGCCAGCAGATGTCTGTGACAGGCAAGGTGCGGAGTCCATTGACTGAGCTCTGAGCTACTGCAAGCTGCTCCTGCAATCTACACAGCTGTGGCTGTTAAGTTCAGCAGAAGTGCAAAAAGATATTTCTTCAGAACAAGAAATTCTGTACTGTGTAGACAAAGAATCCAAATGGTCGAGTGGAGTTGCAACTTCTCACATTCAGAATATGTGCAATGGTAGCCATTTCTAGCCTATTCCAGACTTTAAATATTGTTGAAGGAGATTTGACCAGATTTCCACACAAGTCTGTTACAACTTGAACTTTTTACAGTACATTCTGCTTGTGAACAATTCCAAAAAGAAACCGCTTCCCTTATGAACTGTAAACTGCACCTTTTACTATCTGCTGTACTGAGACAGTGTTACCTGGCTATTAACCCCAATCAGTGTGCAGGAGAATCTGAAGTGTATTTCCTGTCAATTGAAATCATGTATCATTTGACCACTTACTACAGGCTAAACCATGGAATGTATTTCTATTTATAACTATCTAATTCATAGAAGCAACACATATACTATGAGGGACAATATATACTACCTGCAGTCTGTTGACTTTCAAACTGTCCAGAGTTCTTCCTGTCTCTTATGATGTAATGGAATTTAATCCAGACAAGTGTGAGCTGATGCATTTTGGAAGGTCAAATGCAAGAGTTAAATATGCAGTAAATGGCAGGACCCTTGGAAGCATTGATATATAGAGAGATCTTGGGGTGCAAGTCCATAGCTTGCTGAAAGTGGCAACACAAGTTGGTAAAGAATGCATATGGCATGCTTACCTTCATTAGTCGAAGCATTGAGTATATAAGTTGACAAGTCCAGTTACAGCTGCATAAAAATTTAGGCCACATTTGGAATATTGTGATCAGTTCTGGTAGGGCATGTGGGGCTTTGGAGAAGATGCAAGAAACCAGGATGTTGCCTCACTTGGAGTATCTTAGCTATTAGACTAACTTGGATTCTGTTTGCTGAAGCGTGGGAGGCTGGTTGGCAGTCTAACAGATGTATTTAAAATTATGAGGGGCATGGATAGGGTGGATAGTTAATCTTTTTTCCCCAGGGTGGAAATATCAAATACTTGGGGACATAGTTTTAAGGTGTTGGGGGGAGGGGACTTTAAAGATGTGCGAGGCAAGTTTTTTCTTTATCCAGAGGATGGTCGATGTCTAGAATGCACTGCCAGAGGAGGTGGTACAAGTAGATACAATAGTATCATTTAAAGGGCATTTAAAGACATGAACAGGCAGGGAATAGAGGGATATGGGCTATTTGCAAGCTGATGGGATTAGTTTAAAATGGTAATATGGTCGGCATAAACATAGTGGCCCAAAGGGCCTGTTGCTGTGCTATACTGTTCTATGTTCATGACACTCTCTCAAAGACGCAGAGGGCGATTCTCAATTTGCAGTCTGAGAGGTAAGCCCGCTTTCTAGATTGGCTACCCATTATAGAAACCATCAAACTTCCTTACTAGTGAAATTAATATCTCTGGTATAAAGTGGTTCCTTGTATAGCTCAACCATCTTTGTTACCAGAGGCACAGTTCACAGAAATGATCAAATGCTGCAAGATGTCTTCTCTTTGAATTTGAAGCCATTTGTTAGGAGTCAGGCAAGCAAAATGTAAATACATATGACCAGCAATGCTTGCATTTCTTGTAATCCCTGCTTATTTTAACTTCCCGTGACCTGAAGTCACATTTTTCACCTGGTGTGTCGTACCAGGAGGCATCTGAAAGAGATGTTTTTGTACAAACTGCATTCTATAGCTGCGAACTACGCAAGATACCTTGAGGAGGCCATTTTAGTTTCCAATAAAGCATCTCTGAGCCATTTCAGAATTGTTACCAACACTTTTAAAGCAACTTGCAAAATGTTCACAATTGATAAAATGGATGTTTCATTTTTGTTACAAAGATATCTTGCCCAATTAGGCCCGCTGGCAGACTGCAGACAAAGGCTGCCTGTGATAGAAAATGGCTTTTAGTGGTTATGCTCTGTGTGAATTAACAATAAAACCTCCAGGTTCTTCATGAAATAGATGCAAGGAGTGGGCCTAGCCTTCATAGTTCATGAAGACCCATTATATAGATTACTGGCTTCTATAGAGCTGAAGTCTATTTAATGTCTTATCTAAAGGCTTCTACAATGATGCAGCGTTTTCCTGCTATTGAACTGGAAAATTGTCCAAGTCTTTATGCACAAATGTAACTTGAACTTCCTCCGTTTTAAGCAGCTTGAGAGCATTAGCAACTTTGCCAAATTGACATCAACAGTTTAGAAGGAACTTTATTTTAAGGTGTTGAAATTCTTCTGCTTTCAACCCATTCAAAGTGTTTGATTTAATTAACAGAAAAAGTAGTGATACAAGATCAAATGTCTTTATTTACCTGTTGTATTACCTACTAACAAGACTTATTGGAATCCTGTGAATGGCTTTTATTAAAAACTTTGATCATGACTTCAGGCATCTTGATTGCAGATTTGGATTGGTCAACGTCAATTTAATCAAAACCTCTCAGTTTGCTAATTCTGGTAGGAGGTGAGATCAAAACTATGACAATGGCAACTTCTCACATTCACAAGTTTGTCACAGACTCTCTTGGCTGTGAGGTGAAGATGTGAATTTAATTTTCGAGGTCAAAGTAGTGGTTGTTTTGAGAAGGAGATGATGTAGTGCTGGTATAAGCTCCACTTCCAATCCCTACAAAAAGAATTCAAGACAATGATTATCTGGTCAAATCAGAAGTACAGGTACTAAACTAATGAATTGTTAACGACTCCAGTGTTTTGACGTGCTGCTGGGTTTTCTGGAGAGATCAAATATTGTGCTCCGATTTGCTTCCAAACTTTTTCGAGCAAGCGGGTCTGGAATTATTGCAAATGTGAGCTGGGGTTGTGTATTATCCCTGAATCTATCATTGAAAGGTTTGTCAAAATGTTGCAGGCAGTAGTTTATTCTGGGGTGGGTGTGTTTGTGTGGGTTGGAAGATAGTTGAGCAGGCATTTCATTAACCAGTTTATCTGAAATGGCCTCTTGATAGTACAGTGTACTGGATCACAGCATGGAAGCAGCCGCCCCATTTAAGAGTCTTGAAGTAAGTTCTTGCTGTGTTTATGTTGCTGGTGTGAATAAAGCCATCTGCTACTGAATTTCCACAACACATGCTGGTGACAGGTAGGCTGATCCTCCAACCTCATTTCGAACCTAACTCTTGTGAACCCAGTGATCTGGGAGACTTCCATATCATAATGTGAGAAAATAGGCGTGAAATTGAAACACCCCTACTGTAGAAGTCACCAGGCCGTTGTTAGAAGCAGGAAAGGGAACAATTTGGGCAATGCCTTTGATTACTGCTGTCTGAATATAAAATGGTAATCACTGGGGTTAGGGTAGACCTGGGGAAGGGGAGTTGAGCAAAAGCAATTAACTGCCATACATGACTGGGGCTTCCTCTTGAACAATAATGTAAAGAGGCTGTATCAATTCATAGCCCTTTTAATATTCAAAGTTTTCCAGCAGAGCTCTTTTGTCTCCTGCTATTTCTGATTGTGTCATTTCTGGTTCAAAGGTTCAATCGTAGTCTTCTACTTGCAGAATTTACAACTCCATGCAAGGCTACCATGAAGTGCCAGAATAATTTGCAAAACATCTATGATGCAGATAGTGACATTTGAATTCAGTATGAAGAAAATGGGCGGCACAGCGGTTCAGTGGTTAGCACTGCTGCCTCATACCCAGGGACTTAGGTTCGATTCCACCCTCTAGCAACTGTCAGTGAGGAGTTTGCACATTCTCCCCATGTCTGCGTAGGTTTCCGCCCACTGTCCAAAGATGTGCAGGCTAGGTGGATCAGCCATGCTAAATTGCCCGTAGTGTTCAGGGTTGTGTAGATTAGGTGGGTTATGGGGATGGGTCTGGGTGGGATGCTCTGAGTGTCAGTGTGGACTTGTTGGGCCGAAGGGCCTGTTTTCACACTGTAGGATTCTATGATTCTAAAAGCCTTGAATAAGGAGCTTGCCCAATTGTGAACAAGTAACCATTGTTGTTGTGAAAAGTAATCTGGTTCACTGTTGTTCTTTAGGGGAGGAAATCTTTCATCTATATCTGGTTTGACCTAAATGTGACTCCAAACCCACAGCAGTGTGGTGAATTTTTAACTGCCCTCTGGGCAATTAGGGACGGACAATACATGCAGACCTAGCCAGCGACACCCACATCCTATGAACAAAGGGTGTTCTATAACATGCATTTTATTTGTTAGTAAATTTTTACGAAGTCCTAGAAATTACAAAATTGAAGGAAGAGGCAATTCAGCCCATTGTGC